TTTTTATTGTTTTAAGAGGCTACTTTCCTCAGTTGGTAGAAAACCAAAGCATTCTAGCTGGTTTTTCAGTAGCATTTTTGCTTCAGAACTGCTTTGTCTTTAATGGAGCATCCGCTATTCTGTCAAGTCGCTAAGTGTTTTAATTTTGTTGTTTTTCCTCCAGTTTCTTTGTCGTTTCCTTTGACTTGAAATAACGATGATTTATCTTAACTGTTTTAAGTACTTTACTGCACATTTTCTGTTACTAAATGGTCCAAAAATATTCTGACGAATAGCAACAGCAATAAAAAGATGGATGGAAGTTTAAAAATTTGTTCTTTAATGTCGTTATTATTAGTACTATTAGTTAGGTACTCCAAATTTAGTCTGCACTAAAACTCTTAAAACCAAGTCTTTACTTTGCTTTATTTTCTTCTTTTTTCATTTTTTTTTAATTGCACATTTTTTCTGAATTTCGAATGACCTTTACTTTGTTGCAATACAGGATGATTGTGAGAAATTGCACCAAAATGCTGCTCCGGACTTTTCGAAGAAGGAGGAGTTTGTTCTCCAATATACAAACGTATAAAAAGTATATAACGTATGCATGGGCATTCTGACGGATTTTATGAACTTTTCCAGCATTTTATCTTCATTTTATTAATTTGAATGAAGCAAAGGTGGTTGGTTTTGACTGGCGAGAAACGAGAGTTATTTGCTATAGTGCTTTATGCTAGTTTTTTTTATAATTTTTATATTTCTTTGGTGTAATATTTATAAATTCTTTTGTAGCTTTGCAATGGTTTGCTAATGACCAGTAGCAGAAACCCTAAAGCTACTGATTCATTGTTGGATCATTGAAGTCGTCAATAATGTGGAAAATAGGGGAAAAACTATTGGAAAAAAAGTTTCGTTTTCATATAAAAATTTCTCCAAAACTGTGAGGTTCTCCCAGTGCATTTTAGACTTAACAAATTTGTCATTTTACTCGATCATACCAAAACTGCATCCTCATCAAGAGCCATGGGCAGAATCAATTTTCCAGTGACTGTTTGATCAAATGGCTGCGCTTTTGATACTTCGACAGTTAGTTCGCCCAGCTCGATCTGACTTTCTTCGCATTGCGATATATCGTTAATGGTTACATGAAAACCCTGCAAAATCCTGAAGTTTCAGCTGCGAAAACAATTCAAACAACACTTACTTTACCAGCAGCAAGTAATAAAGCAATTATTAAAGAAACTTTATCTGAGATCATTGTATTACTGATGTTTCTATCTCGTATTTGATCGCGCAAATATGAATTATTTACACCTTGAATTGCGCGGTTCTAATACAAACTAATCAATTGCGGTAGTAATTATACGTTTTAAGCCAGTTAACAATGGAAACTGCTCAACTTCCCTTTCATGTTTCTGCTTGCAAAGCACGACACAATTAATTACGCATTAAAAGCGTTTGGTTTGCCAGAAAATAAATATAGTTTGCTTCTTCTAGCTTAAATCCCCCAGCAGGTCAAGATTCTCGTTCTAAAGAAATCCGTTTTTATGTGACTTATTAGATTAATTGATGGCTAATTAATTTGAAATAGCAGATTTTTAAGTACCTGAGCAAGTATAAGGAAAACTTAGCGGATTCTCTAGATTGGTGATTTTTTTGCAGCTTGAGTAAACCTTTGGCCAAGAAGAAATTGGCAGAAAAGGCCAAAAATGCAATGCAAAAAACTGCATTTAAAGTAATTGCTTATATAAAAAGCTTCTCAACCCATTATCATCTGATAAATTTTGTTTCAAATAAAAAGCTCATTAACGTTCTGTTAAATTATAAAAAAAAATGTTTTGGCTTTATTTCGTTTTGATTCTTAAGGGAATATTTATGGTCTCGTTTAAGGGACTATTTTGCTGGAACTATGGACTAAGTTTTTTGTCACACACTGATTTCAAATTGTATTAACAAAAATAATATACATATCTGTATTAATTATGAATGCTTCTTTTGAAAGATGTATCATCATATTTTGAATAGCTTTAGTAGAGCTTAGTAGAGGATACAATTATTACAGACGTTTGATATGTTCCTACTGAATCATTCAGATTTCAAGAGTTTCATGGTGTTACTAAAAGAAGTGCATGCAAAAATTTCCAAAAAGTTTTCCACAGTCGGTCAAAAAGTGACAAAATGAAGAATTAATTATTATTCGTTAGATTAAGAAAACCGATTTTTTTTAACCAAATAATTCTATTTCTATCAAATTAATTTCATTATCAATTCATGTAGAAATTTCTCTGAAAAATCTACTTAAGTCGATACTAAATCCTTTCAGCATTTTCAAAATAGTCTCCTAGAGCCTTAATCTACCACCAAATTAAATATCTTCTGTAATTTTTTGAAACTCATATATTTGACGGTCTTTATTAATTTGTAAAAATAATTCCTAATGCAAATGCCCCAAATGTATGAAAATTATGCTCCCGAAAACTGGAAAGTCTAACATAACTAAATAAATGAGTAAAACACAAGTTTATGAAAGTTAATTTTATTCAGATGGGCAGGAGTCATTGAGAAGAACCGTCGACTCGAGAATTTGTGATTAAATTGATATTGCGCCTCTACATTTGGTTGTTTCTGAAAAATGAAAATACCCACTTTACAAGCTTCGAAGTATTTAGAATCTATAGCACATACACTAACATTGTATATTGTAAAACCTTCTCTTTCATGTCCTTTTCAGCTATTTTAATATTCATCTAATTTGGCTTCAGTTCAGGCAATATTTCGTTTTTTGTTCAATTTTAATTATACTGTACATGACCTAGCATTATTGATAATTGTTATTGTTGAAACGAATTTTTTCCGATCACGCTAGACTCAATTTTATTGCAATTGACCGAAGGAATTAAATGTTATGTTAGCTCTGGCAAATATTTTCCTATTTTTTTCCGTGCTCCATTCAAATCTGGACAAAGTACACAGCACCGTCCAATAACCTGACGTATCTCACCCCATATGATAACAAAACCGTATTATTTTTCCCGATCGCCCCCCAAATCGGCAATATTGGCGTATTAGTCATAGTTTAGCAAGTTTGCTCTGCTTAAGAAGGGGGTGCACATGCATCTTGAAGAGGGAGCTTGATGGCTCATCAAACTCCCGGTGGACGATTGCGGAGGCAATTTCCTCTTTTACCTTTTCGATCTGCCGATTTGCGGTAAATGGCCAAGAATTCAGATATTCAAATACCAAACTTCTATATATATGAAATCAACATTCCTGCTTCGCTCAAATATTTCCCACAGGCTTTTCTTTGCTTCTTATACAGTCCTTTCGAGAAATCTTAACAATAGGAATTTGTTAGCTTTACCCGAGGAAGGCTGCTTTGAATTTTGAATTTAATAAGCCGCTTACGACTTTCCACAACAAAATACTGTCTTGACAATGCAGTGGAGTGTTTAAATCTGATATTTTCCTTTTGGGCGAAAGTTTAGTACTTTCGAAAGCTGGTTTTGTGCTGTTGAATAACAAAATACTCCCACACTTTGCTACTATTTGATTATTTGTAAACACTGCAAGCTTTAGAATATTTTTTTTGGTGACATAATTGATTTAATATATTTATGATTCCGTTTTGATAATTTTGCATAATTACTCTGCTTAATGACACCAGTTTGAGTTTTTAACACCCAACCATACCAGCAGCTCTAATAAGAACTGTTTTAATTTTTTAATCCTATTGAGATCTTTCCATGTTAATAAATTGTTGAAATTGCTTTTTAAAAGCACAGCCTTCTAAGCTTTTATGTATTAAACCAAACCCAGCGTCTGTTCAGACACATTTTAATAACGTATCAATTGGTGCATAAAGTCTATAAATGCATTCTTTAAGAGCACCAACTTGTAGAGCCAAAGTGCGTTAATAAGAGACAATATAATCATTTACTTTATTCATCATGGGAATTAAGGTTTGGGAATGGTATCAGAAATGTATTCAAATGTAAATTATAGATGCTTCTTTCTCTTAGAGGTAGCTGAAATCTTACATAATATTTCTTGAACTTGACACTTGAAAAGTTGCACAAAAAACCACCGCTGTTTGGAAGCTTTAAATTTAGAAAGCCACATGTTAATTAGTGAATTCATTCCCACAGAGGGCCATTGATTCAAAGTGTAATTATTTGGCCGATAAAGCACATTTAATTCATAAATATGTCGTCCGACAACGTGAAAAAATAAATAACAATGAGAATTATAACTGACTCAAGTTTAATTTCGAAACGATTAATCTCTCGATAGGTCACAAACATGTCTTGGATATTTGGATTACTTTCCCATAAGTATACAGAAACCATGCCCCGGTTGAGTTATTACTGAATGCCCGCATTTAATCAACTCAATTGTTTGACTAGAAACTACTGGTTTTACTCTATTTGGTGCTGGCACTTTTAGAGAAAATCGCGCTTAAATGTAATGTAATCATTTATTTCCTGCTGTTGCTAATTTTGGGTCATTTTCATAAATTTGCATTTTTTATGCCGTTTAAAGCTTTCTCAAGGGGCGGTGAGTTCGTTTGGTGTATTTTGCATTCTGACTTTTAACACAAAATAAAACAAGCAAGCAGCGGGTTTAATTCTTGGCTTGTTAACGTTTCCATAATTAATTAACAATGAGAGAAATCCGTGAAGTAATTAGAAGACAGTTTTTGTTGCTTGATATTTTGTGGATATTTTTTTTCAATAGATTCAAGACTAAATTTATGAGTAAGGGAAAGCCACTTGTGAGTCTGGGAAGCAGCTGAAATGGTTCTGTCTGTTCCCATTTACTCAGGAATTCTTCTGGAAACGTAGTGCATAATTATGAGAAACTTATTGTTTTCCCAAATTGGATAGATTTACCATCGGTTTTGGGCAATTAAAACTTTAACTTTTTATAGATGTAATTAACCTTCACCAAAACCTGATTAAGAGCCCAGCACTTGCTGGGTATTTTTGGGAACTATAAATAAAAGGGGTGGAAAACTTCTAGTATAATACAAATCAATATATATTTTATTGTGATGTGTGATTTATGATTCATTCATCAGATACTTCCAACTCTATAGATGCACAAAACACGTGGTTTTCGTTTTTATCGTAAATATTCAATATTGCCCTCAATTGTCCAAATATTGGAGGAATTTGAAGTTCTGGCTTGGTAATCTCAAAGTCTTTCAATACGAAAATTTCCTAAAAATAAAAACAAAACATTATGAAAGGTTGATTTATAAAGAACAATTGGAGATGAGGCTAATTTGACAAATTAGCATTTTTAATTTTCTTCCTGGTGTTTCGTAAGTGTGAGGCGCAGAATTAGTCACTTCTTGAAAGTTTAATTTTGTTTTGAGATGGAGGATTTTTTCGTCTATTGGTGTAAAGTTATTCGCGTCGTTTGCTAGTTTTGTGGCTTTTTGATCGTTTAGAAATTAATGCAAGATTATAATTTTTAATTTGCATTTTCGCAATTTAATCGCAAATATTATACAGAAAAGCTTATAATATAAAGCTATAATTTTTGTACTTCAACTCACAAACACAGATAGTTGTAGTCGAAATTATGTCAACTTTTACCGCAACAACTTTGAGATCAAAATGTGTCCAAAACTGCATTTTGCAAAATAAATAACATGGATTGCACAGAAGATTGTAATCTCGAATGTTCCTGCTTCAGCAACGTGCGAAGTATGAAAGTCAATTCGATGCGTTTGGTAGGACAAAGCCACTTCTATAAGTAAACAAAGTTTCGAATTCCAGTCATCTTCAGGCAATTTTAGACAATTTTTAAATATTTAGCCTGGTTTTCGATTTAGTTTCAGTGGGCCGCAGTTTGGCATTAATTTTTTCACAGGCATTCGGTCGCTTTTGCTTGGATTTTGTATGACAAAATCCGATCTACATGCCAAATTTTTCGATTTCCAGTCGTCGACAGACAATTTTCAACAATTTTTTGAAAGTTTTGGTAACTTTTTCAACTTTTGTTTGTATTTTGCGTTGTATCACTTACGGATAATTTTACAGTTGCGATTTGGTTACTACTTTATTCATGCACATGCTGTACATTGTATTACTCCTTAAATATTCAAAAAATCTATTATGCGAAAACATGTGCTGTTGCGAAAATTTAATGGAATTTATTGCGAATTTATTTTGTTGTTGATGGGTAACTATTTCAGCTAAAGCGACAGGTTTTTTCATTCTACTTACTTAATTTGAAATGTAATTCACAATTTTAATAGCGATTACATTGAGAAAAAACATTTACATATAATTTCTACTTCAGACTCGTCAAAAATATTTCCACTAAGCGGAAAATATTTGCACTGTTGCGTTTGTTCTGCGGCAAATTAACGTAAAACTAGCTTTAAAAAGTACGTATTTACACCAGCTACCGATATCTATCGACATTTCTGTAATTTTGAGCAGTGATCTTTTGAACCTAATTTCAACATTAGTTATAAATAATATAGTTAATT